ACTATATACTGACTATTTCTTTAAGTTTTAAACTGATCAATTTTGCTTAACCTTCTTGCTGATGTTGTTTACTATCTTTGTTAATTGACATACATCAAAGAATGCCTTTTTTAATAATACGTGTCAAGGGCAGAAGTCTCACCTTCTTTAGTATAGGCATATGTCTACACACGAGTCACGAGTCTACACAAAGAAAGTGAATGGTGGTTAATTTGATCTAACTCGCGTGAAAGCGCACGACTTAACAAAATACAACTTACAATATACCACTTTTTAAAGTTTATGATTCGACAAAGTCCTAACATCGACATGTAAATTGTTTTATAATAGCAATATCAGGCCATGATGTGGAAGGTAAGTTCCATGTCGAAATTTCGTAGGTAACTAGTCCTGATTTATATAAATGTTTATTTTAGATTGTTTTGAGAGAGATAAGATTAAAAATGTTTTATTATCAAACAGGAAGTTGGGTACGAATCAACTTAGTTTTGGGTATGAATCATCTTAGCTTTGGGTACGAATCGTCTTGGTACGAAACATCCGATAAGCAACCGTATGGGTACGAAACTTCCTTCGGTAAGAAACTATTAGATACCATCAGGCATTAATAGTGCTAATTAGTTATGTTGGGCTGTTATAAAAGATACGTGTGTAGTAATATCCATATTCACTCCGTGCTCTTACGAAGCAGGACAACAGTGTCCAGAATTCATGCCAAGGTAAGGCAACTACTGGATCTGCTCTTTTTCTTGGCTCTGTATAATCTGACTTAATTCATAAAGTTGTATTACGAACAAATTAAGGGGAGGCGGTCAAATCTATTTCCTTCCCATCTGACCTTTCCTTACAAGCTTCCTCTACTTTGGTCATGCTTACTTCTTCGCCATAATCAGCCATATCAGAATTTGGGACTAATTCTGTGACTTAAGTAACCTCTTGGAGCCTGTGGTTTAAAATCAAGAATTAAATTTTAACCAGTCTATTCGGACAAAGCGACCAAGAGTGTTGCCGCTGCTCCCACATGGGATATCATTCTGTTGAAAATTATCCCAGGAAGCTTTTTTAGGGGCTCCATTGTTCCATATCTCCGGGTAATAGACTGGTATTTACGAAAGCGCAGAGCATCACTAAAAGGGATGTCTTCCCCATATGCAAAATTCGGGATAGATGATCACATAGTCCTGGATACTTCAATGGTCACAACTCCAGTGAGAACTAAGTCAACCAAGTACCCAGAGATAAAAGTGATTACTCATTTGACGTGTTTTATTATGATTTTAGTTTTCAAAAACAGAATATGAAGCGCTTTGTTATGCTGCTGATTTTTCTAGCGGTGGCGAATTCATTTCCCTTGAAAAATGAGGAAAACGCCGCGCTGAAAACGAAGGTAATGTTCTACCACAAGAGCTTCAATGGCAACTTGGTTATCGAAAGTAATCAAGCATTGCGTCGACTCTGACAAAAGGCTAACACTCGAAACTTCACCTTTAGAAACTTTTTAAGGGAGATCGATTTTCCATAAAACCAAATAATCATGTGATATCCCTCGCAGACTCACACTAAAGATTCTTTAGAAACTTACCGTCTTTATTCAGGGATTGCATTAGCTTTGCTTCACTTCTCCTTCTGTGTGGCCTAAGACATTCACGACAATCTATCAACCAATCAAATGCAAAACTAAAACCAATCACGACTTCATTATTTCCTGTTTATTCCCGCATTAGATAGTTAATCTGTTTATACCTCGAGTTTTCATTGCCATCTTCTGATATTTCCTTCTTTCTTCCTCCGTTTGGTCTTAGTGTTACCAGCCTCAATCGAAAAACGCGCTCTCTATCATGCTTGATAGGCTACACTATAAGTCGTGATGGTGTTGATTGCTTTCAGATGATATCACTAAATCGTTACATATCAATACTACCATTATTGACAGGACCATTTTTATTTAAAGGTCTTGGGTCCCCGTGTACTAGATGCTTGTAAGCGCAGGATCCTACCGAACAGACCAATAATTGGTAAGTGCATTTCAACTTTTTTACTGCTTTACGGCTTTTTGCAAAGTGTCACGGAGCAGGTTTTTTAAAGTCAAAGTTGAACGACGATACCGCCTCCCCCCCGTTCCACCCCTTCCACACACAATCACACACACACCCACGCTCACATGTGGTTTTAGCAGTTTTCAATTCTTCTGGATTTGTAGAAGAAAAATTCGATCTATGAATGATGAACGTAGCTGAGATAAACCTCCTTTATAAAAGCACTGCGTTGATGTGAGTTTGACGCATAGATATGAGTGCTCCAAAAATTGTGCGTAACTCGCGAGGGCCAGAAGAGAAAACTGTTAACCAATACTGCTACACCAGTAATTCTTTGTTGCTAGAGATCAATTCAAATTTTTAATTTTCAAAAAGAAAAATAGAGCAATGACAATTTCAAACGTTATCAATTACCTTTGCAGATACACCTCTTAACCATCCCGCGCGACAAAGTGGTTGGGGCAGCAATGTTGGTTGGTCATCAATGGATGTCAATGTCGGCGGAGGACAAAAAAACAGTAAACGGGATTGGGGCACCAATGGTAAACGAGATTACGGAATGAGGGGTAGATATGAGCATAAAAATGGCAAGTCGATTGTGGGCCTCGATGGCTATTATCAAAAGAATTCGGGTAAACATGCTTCTTGTTGTTTTTGTTGTTGTTGTTGTAGACTACGAACAGTCCCTCCTTTTCGGCGAGCTTCGTTGAGCGATTCAAAAAAATTCAATGAGACAAGAAAATGAAGTTACCGCGCCGCGGGGAGTTTTGGGAGTGTGATCTCTCACTCTTTAAAACTACCCTCCGCACCCCACCCCCGTTGATTATCTATCCATCCATCCATCCATCCATCCATCCATCCATCCATCCATCCATCCATCCATCCATCCATCCATCCATCCATCCATCCATCCATCTTTCCATTTATATACCAACCCATCCTTCCATTCACGCACCCATTAGTCTGGTAATGGCGGGCAATTTATAAAGACAAGAAATCAGAGGTTAAGATAAGTAAGACCCCTTCTTATAGTTGGGTGCACTGATAATTGGAAACGGAAATTATGTGATTTTTTTCGGCATTAATTTTTTAAGCTCTTTAAAGAGAGCTACACTTTTCAGCTCCGAATCTCTTACGCTGCTGATTTTTTTTTTCATATTTCAAACCCACAGGTGAACTACTTAGTAGTACATATGAATGAAACCCGTGCTAACTTAATTGTTTCTTTTCCTAACAAATTTCTGGTTCCATATCGATCTCTTATCTTGGTAAATTCTCTCATATTTCAGGCCGACGTTAAAGTTCAACGCTCCAATGATATGGGGAAATATAAAGAAGAAAGTGTCTTAATTTTTAAGCTTTAGTAAGAAAAACAGCACTAAGACTCAATTTTGTAACATTACATTTCATATGGTACTGACAAGGAGAATTTTTATTAACAATCAGGAGCTTCTTAAATTGGTGATAATCTCCTTTATTCTAATGACCTTAATGTTTGATTCAAGGGTGAAATCGTAAAAAGAAATCAGAAACCAGTCACCTTGAGGGGCAAAGGGTTAGTGCTGGTTTGGGAGGGTCTTAACGTATCTCCAAATTTAAAGGAACGGATGAACAAGTTAAACAGAGGTTAGGGTTTCAAAAATGAATCTGAGTTTAAATTATCACGTTAAGATCTCCGAAAGTTGCTTGCAAATGCTTATGAGGCTCTGCATACTTTAAGGTGCATCGTGCATCTCGACAAAAATTAAACTGATGAAAATGGTTTTTCATCAGGGTTTAGAGGCAATTATAACTGGCTAATAACCGTGTTTATTATATAGCTGGCAGCACCCGTGGGAAATATGAAGCGAATCCTGTTTCCTGATTGGCTGCCTGAGCGGGTAGGATGGGCCCATCTTCCCTGCTTTGATCCTGCACAAAAAAAAAAAAGTGCTTGAAGCGAACTTACAATGTTCGCAACTTCTGCACAATTTCGGCGCAAAAAGCGACAGAAGACAGTCAAATGTCGTATGTCAATGTTAGGACTCGTCCACTTTTAAACTTTCCCAGGCCTTGAAAATGATATTATAAGATTGCATGACTTTCGAGGTATATCCTAAACCGTATGAACCCTGCATGATTTGAATGTAAACAGAAGTTTGCTGTTAGTCTGCTATAAATTGCACCTTAAAAGAAAAACTGAGGATGGAGTATCGTGACCTGGTAGGACGAATTATTGACTTTGTAAAGGTAAACAGCTTTGTCTCTGCCACAATAAGGTTAAATAATTTTAAAAAAACTTCTTCATCTGGCCTTGAATCATTACACAATCTAATTTTAAAAACGTTGCCACGGAAAAGAGCTAATAGAAATAAAAAACACGAAAAGCCAAACGAGGAGTAATGAGCATATAAATTACCTTCTCATGATCTAAAAGGGAGGCTCTTATTTGGTCTAAACGGTTGTGTGCTGGAAAACTGTTACGGCCTCAGGATACAACATTTGCAATAAGGGGGGAATAATATTTCATTAAATAAAGCCTCTTGAAAATTATTAATTAATTCGCCGTAGTCAGCCACATCAGAATTTGGTATTAATTCTGTGACTTAAGTAACCTCTTGGAGCCTATGGTTTAAAATCATGAGTTAAATGTTAACCGGTCTATTCGGACAAAGCGACCAAGAATGTTGCCGCTGCTTTCACCTGGGATATCGGTCTGTTGAAAGTTATCCTTGAAAGCTTTTTTAGGGATCCCAATGTTCCATATCTCCGGGTAATCGATTTACATTTAGTGTTTTGAAAGCGCAGAGCATCACCAAAAGGGCTGTCTTCCCCACAAGTAAAACTCAGGATATAGATGATCACATAGTCCTGGATACTTCAATGGTACCCAGAGATAAAAGTGATTACTTATCTGACGTGTTTTATTATGATTTTAGTTTTCAAAAACAGAATATGAAGCGCTTTGATATGCTGCTAATTACTCTAGCGGTGGCGAATTAATTTCCCTTGAAATATGAGGAAAACGCCGCGCTGAAAACGAAGGTAATGTACTACCACAAGAGTTTCGTGTGTTTCAGATGAGCTATCATGTTCATAGCGTTAATATAACGACATTTATTTTCACATTTGAAGCAACTTTCAATTAAGTGTCAGAAATAATGCAGGAGTGTCTTATTTTATTTTAACGGGTCTAAAAAAACTGTTGATTTATTTTTGGCCTTTAATTTCATGATGTAAACTGAATCAATCAAGAAGCAATTGCGGTTAAATTGGCAACTTGGTTTTTGAAAGTAATCCGGTATTGCGTTGACACTGACGAAGGGCTAACACTTGAAACTTCAGCTTTACAAACTTTTTATGGAGATCGATTTGCATAAAACCTATTAATCGTGTGATATCCCTCACCGACTATCATATCTCCGCATTAGAGAGGTCATCTGTTTATACCTCGAGTTTTGAGTGGCATCTTCTGACATTTCCTTCTTTCTGATGGACCCTTATAATTACTTTGGTTTTGGTTTTACCAGGCTCAATCGAAAAAAGCGCTCTCTATCATGCTTGTTGTCGGCTATTGGCTAATGTGTTGTTGGCTAGAGTGTTTCTTACTTTGTTGCTTTTAGATGATATCTCGAAATCGTTATTTCTCATTACTACTATTACTGACAATGCCATTTTAATTAAAAGGTCTTAAGGTCTTGGGTCCCCGTGTACTAGATGCTGGTAAT